ATCCACATGGTGGCCGATAAGTATGGGCGTTACAACATGTAATATATCTTTTTTCTGAAATAATCTATCATGGCGGCGAATACGCCAGTAGATTGCGAGCGGTCTCTATATTAAGATAAGTGAAAATCACACAACCTGAAGTCTTCTGATGCAAACGGGACTCTTAAATCTACTTTCTCTTGAGAGGCGCTGCGGCGCGTTAAGTCAACACCATATTCAAGGTACCGTGTCTTATTGGCGAGGAGAATTTTTTGCTATTACAGCACTATGTTATTTCTTGAACTGTGCTCTACAAAACCCCAGGCCTTAAAATCTATTTGATTGAAAGTCGGGTTATTTTAACGGATTTGCAATGAGCACATCCTTCAAGTAGCATTTCTGACGCATTAACTTCAAGGTAAGCTGCTGAAGTCTGTATGTATGCGCAGGAATCCGGTCTTGCAGGAGTAGCACACTAAGATGTCTTTGTTCTTGGCATGCAAAAATAGTCTCACGGGATTTGTCTGCTATGAAAAATCATTGATCGAGAAATGTGACGCTCACACTTTTCGGCCATTCTGTACAGCTTTACCTGGCGCGAATCTCACTCCCAGCACTTATGCATGCTGCAAATAGCGGATTTTAAAGCGAGCAAGAGTGACCCAAAAGATAAACGCGGACCTGTTCTGGGTGATTTAGAGGCAAAGGCGTAATAGTCTAAATTATTACAAAAGTCGAATTGCCTCTCAGTGTGCGCATCAAATCGACATTTTCAGCTACACGGAGACCGAAGTTACATCAAAAGCGAGCGAGTTCCCGTTAAATGCTGTCATTAACGCGTACCCAGGATATCCGTTCGGGAAGGGGGGGAGGGCGACAAAAATTCTTTTCTAATGAAGGTGCGTGGCGTCAGCCACGCACATCGAAAAATTTTTTGGTATGCTCCCTGAAATTTTTGCTACTGCTTTTTACATCAAGTATATGCTCCCTTGGCAAGCGCAAATCACATTATAGTGTCTTTCAATACACCTTGTCTACTGGCCATGACGATGCTGAGCATTCATCTGGCGCGACTACTCTAAAGCTGACATGAGATCTATTAGGCTGGTGCAAAAGTAATGTCCGATTTTGCAAGCCTTTTTTCAGGCCAATTTTTTCCATCAAAATTTCTCCTTTGAGACAGATGTAGCTACCACTGAGAAGCTGCTTTCATGCTCTATCTAGTGCTCGTTAAAGCGGGCTTTCACTCTCATCTGTTATAAAGTTACTGAGCTACAAATAACAGCATCCAAATTTGGAATTTTGTTGCATTCACTTTTGTGGCCGGAATTCGAGTGCCTATGGATGGCGCTATTTCGAAAATTTAGCTAATGTATGCCATAGGAATTGTCTACATCATGCCTACCTAACTGTGTTTTTTAAAGTTATCCAGACTGAGATATCGGCTTTTCAACATCGGTAGACGTTGCGGTCATTTTATGATCCATAATTTTTTTTGAAGAAGTCATTCGACAAAACTTTGCTCAATTATGTAAGCGTAATGCTAGCGCATCCTATCAGCAGTTTTTGCAAAAACATCTAGCTGTTCACTGCTCAGAAAGTCGGAAATATCTATATTCGGAATTTGAGGCACACTGAAAAAATATTGAAAAAACTGAGAAAATTTAATTTTCAATTCTTTTCTCGCAAACTTTTTGTCCGAATTCTTCTTATTGCATTTTGTACTACTGGCTTGCGGCTACAAAATAGGCCGCTTATCATTCATACTGACAAACTTTGAAGGAAGTTATGAATTGTCAAAGACAAAGTTCTAACAGGAGAACCTTTTTTGTTTTTCAATCCATATTTTTCTGCCCTTTCATGAAGTATAAGTAAATGTGCTCTGTATTGCAGAAGGTTTGCTGCTTCTGATGATCGTTACCGCATTCGGAAATGTGAATCTTTCAAAAAGTTATAGCACGTCAAAGTGAGAATTCGCAAATCGGCTATTACTTTTGCACCAACCCAACATTGTTGTCCCATAAGTCCTTTCATTTTTGAGTTTTAGCTATAATGGAGTCACACACTTCTTGTTCTGAAAAGACATCAGGACATCATTCGATAGAGCAAAGCAAGTTCTATAAGATGGTATTTTTGCTTTTGCACAAGCTTTGGTCCATCTCGATGAACCAAAATTGAAAAGTTCCGGATGCCCAGAAAACCGAAAATTGTTTATATCTTCGTTCGAAAAAATCCTACAGACCTCTAACTCGCTCATGCATATACATTCCACATCAGACATTCATATGTGTTGTTGCTGTATTTTTACTCAAGATGGACCAAAGCTTGTGCAAAAGCATAAATCTATCGAATGGTATCTTGATGTCTATTTAGAATAAGAAGTGTGTGACCTATTACCGCTAAAACTCAAAAATGAAAAGACTTGTGGGACAACCTAACATAAAAGATGTACTGTCATAAATATGGTTCGTGAGACCTGGACATTGTGTTATAGCCTCTATTCTGTTTAACCAACCTTTCTATTCTGTTCCAGGCCTCTAAGAAAGTGTTGCCGGAACGTGCTAAATAAAAACTTGGAACAAACCAGGTTGGTTAAACAGAATAGTGACGACCTACTGTAAAATATTAGTTCATTTAGCATGTTTGATATATACTCTAACATTCATGATCTTTGTGATCGCTTTTCGAATATCACGATTCAATTTGAACAGTATGTCTCCTTCAAATGAAGAAATATTTCCTTCTCTACGCTAACCTTACCATACAAAGAATCTCTGAATGTAAAGAATTAGACTGTTTTTGAGTCTTTATAATTTTTCAAACAATAGATTTTGATGAACAGATCCTTCGAGTGTTGGCCCCTACCAATGATAGATTACCAGGATAGAAGCTTCTCTGTTCGTGTACTCGACAGAATTTCAGCGGCTAAGTCTTGTAAGTCTAAGGTTCCCCAAGGCAGTATTCTGTCGCCGATTTTCTTCATCATATATATTGAATTGTCAGCTTGTCTTATCACAGATCCATGAGTTAGAGTTGCTGCGTACGCCGTTGACTTTGAAATATTGTCAACGACCAGTACGATAAGATGATTGCTTATGCAGCACTTTGTGACTTCTTTTAAACGATTTGTGGGCAGATAGACAGAACATCAAAGTGAGTACCCCAAAGTTGCTCTGCCCCTATGGCAGAACCTTCCATCCAAGTAATAGCAGCTTTAATCTGGAATGCATAGCCTCGGTCAAAGACCTGGGTGCTCTCTCAAATTCTAGAATAAGATATTCGTACCACATAGACGAAATCTATCTGGGTTGGTGCAGGAGGAACTATAGCTATTGTCAGCCGCTGCTTCCAACTTCCAACAGAAATGCACTATTTGCCTTGTAAATCGCGAATTTTACAGCACTAAGAATGATTAGAATTGAGATAAATACTTTGCTTGTGAGTGTTACTCGTAAGTTGCAGTTCGATGAGCTATTTCGAGACAAAAGTAAAATATCCGATTTCACCTCTAAAACCTTTTCTGTATTTTCTGCCTATTTTCACATCTCGTTTGCAAGCTAACAAATGCTATTTGACTCTTCGGTATAATCGAAGGCATAAAAAAAAGAAACACTTCGAATTTCTGCCTGCGGATAGGCAAAAATGAGGGAAAATGATGCGCTGGTTAGTGACCGCAAGCTATCGCTTGGCAGATAGTAAACATATATTTGTGATCAGCGTTTTAAGGCGAGTTGATGATATACAGTGTGTTTGGTATGGCTGCGTTGAGTTCTGACCATTCCCTGCTTAGTTGGAGGCTCGTTTAGCGTTTGAAAAATATGCATAAAGCCGTCTCAGGACATAGAAGTTGGAGGAAATGGCAACAATCACTTGTCGCAGTTTTTTATCGTAGAACTGGCAAGTAGATTAACAGCTATGACGATTTTATCATTGACAACTTTGCCTCACAACTGATTTTTTTCGTGGCTTTTGGTGAAGGGGGCCACCTTGAATCTCGGCTCAGGGGGTGAAAGGGGATGAGCAAATTCTCACACCACTGTCGAATAGTCCAGAAGTCTCTCTGTGTTCTTCGGCCGTTAGTCGCATATGTAATGAGGTAATCATCCTTCTTGATGTAGTATGTGTTCGCCAAGACCAGATCATGAGCAATCTGGTATTAGCCTTGAGCTAATTCCAGAATGCGCTCACCTCCCTCATTGCATGTTCCGTAATCGTGGCCTCCGTGACATTTCCCGGCTTCCCCATGCCTTTCTCCCACATGTCCGTTGAGGTCCGATCCTAGCAGGATTGTTTCATCCAGTGGAACTGAACTGATGTAGTCATCGAGCTCCTCCCGGAACGCGTCCTTTTCATCATTCTTACATTCGACTTGTGGTGCAAAAGCGGTGATTACTTGCAGGACCTATTTCCCAGTAGCTATATTTGTGCTCATCAGACGACCGCTTATGCGCTCAACGTCAACTATATTGCTCCTTAGAATCTTTGAGACAGCTATACCAACTCCGTTTCTTATGCAGTCGGCATCATTGTAAAGGAGCTTATATATTTCTCCGATGTCGCGTGACTTTGCCTCGCTCCATTTCGTTTCCTTTATGCAAGCTACATCGGCTCGCCGTCTCTTCAGAAGTTCTGCTAGCTCTCGATAGCGAGAGGTGAGCGTACCCATAATGATGATAGCTAGGCGATGCCTTGGGTCGTTGCCTCTGAAGGACTAGCCACTTTAGCTGTTCCCGTTCACCTTGCTGAGACGGTAACCCTCACCACTATTGCATTCGTAGGGCTCATATGCGCGTCGCTTCCGAGGGATGCCCTATTCTCTACTCGAGTAACTGAATGAGACATGGCTGCACTGATTAGTGCGACGGGGTGTTTCTCAGCCGGCTTGTCACATGCCCTTCTTTGAAAGGGCAGCATGACAAGCCGGCTGGAATTATGAGCAGAATTCTTGCGGCAGAATTTAGGCTCAGGGTAGAATTAAATTTGTGAAGGTCCTTCAGCACGGTAAACTAATGCGCTAACCATTAGACTAACTCTGCTCCGAAAGAAATAAATAAGCTGTCAAAATAACCGAACCTCTCTAGCCATCCTATGTTGCCACATGTAACCTCACTGTAGAATGTATCTCGGTCATCCTTGAACCAGCGTACGGAAGCATCCATGTACCAAACAGCACCAAATTCTTTCAATGTCATCTAAACGTGCGAGCCGTATGCAGCTTGAAGGGTCCATCAAACCAGACTGACTGCTATCAAAATGGGTTTCCATCTATACTCCTTTAGTTTTGCGACATAGTCAGGATACAACTCGAAAGGAAACTTTCGCAATTTCACAAAGCATTTACTCTTAAAAAAACCTTTATGAGTAAGACAACGCGATGGCAGCGCACTTACTTGCACATCAGCTGCTGACTTGTTATTGAGGCCTAGATCATAAACGATAATCCACTCCGTTTTCCAAATTTTGCGGATGTTTGCTATCTGTAAAAGCTTTTGATTTTTTATGGCTTTGCAAGAGTCTTGAAAAAACATAAACCGTGTTTAGGTTCTCTAACAACTCCGCTGGATGCGAAGGTGTAGATGTGGAGCGTTGAGATCAAGGACCGGTATGGCTGATACACGGACATGCTGGATATCGTTTTTGTAGTTGAAGCAGAATGGTGTCATATATACTCGTCTGCTCTCATATACGTGCTTCCAGTTGACCAGCTATATGAAAGATTGAGTGCATCTTCCGTCGAATTCTCCGCTCGAGTTATGTCAGTTGGGCCAAATTATGGCTTTGACAACAGCCCTGAGCTTAAATCGCGCGTAATTCCCGAAATCCCCCACTGAAAACCGTAAACGCCGACGGGAACTTCACTGAACCAGTGTATGTAGACGGTACATAGGCACAGTTCCTACGGAAAACGTGTGTCAATTGTGACATAACATATCCACTTTCCAAATCTGTCAAACCGTTCCCTAATAAATTACGGCCCTTGGTTTTCCAACTTTGAGCTGACCGCAAAAGAATACGAGTAATTATGCATCATTCAGCGAAAAAGTCTTTCGAAAACGCAGTCATAACGAAAACTACTAATGCTCGCTATTCGTAGAAAGTTTCGGCATTTGTGAGGAACTTAAAGAGGTGCTATGACGGGATGAACCCGGTACTTTATGAGTGAAAGCTAACTATCCTCACTATCAGAGTTTCTACCAATGATGCATTGTAAGGTAGTCGATTTAAGCGTAGACAGGGCAAAACTCTAGAATTCGGGATTTTCCTCCTGCTTCCATTATGTTGTAAGTTCTCTTATCCTTGAACCGTGGCATGTTCTTGATGAAGAATAATTTCAATTGTTAGATTATGCCGAACAGGTTGTTATTGTTATATTATGCCGAACAGGCTGTTATAGATATACTTTATTGTCCGACATTCCGACAAGAGTTGTTTTCAGGGGCTGAAAAGCCGTCAGTTACATTAATACACGATGTCTGTGGCCAAATATCTCCACCGACTTGCCACTAGATTCGTCCTGAGTTTGTGGGAGAATTTTACCCAAATGTTTAATCAACGTTCGCTTCCAAAATCTTTGCTTCTACTCAAGAAGAATCGAGTGGCATGGTGAAGATATTTGGCGGCAGAGATCCTGTGACAATTAACGCCTTTTCAGTCCCTGAAGACGGATTATCTATAACAACCTGTACGGCATAATATAACAATTAAAATTATTCATCTTCAAAATTGTTTTGCAGATTTGTGAGGCAGGTATGTCATTAGTGTCCCAAAACGACATTACTGACGGGTCCGCCCAGATGTGAAGAAAAAGGTTTCAGGGGGTCCTTGTGAGCAACCAGTGTCACCTCCGCCGCGAAAGGTTCGCATTAGCAATTCACCATAAATCAGTGGCGTATACCGAGGAGTGAGGGGCGCCCCCCCCCCTCGCCCCCTCCCCCCTCCTTAGAACGGGTCTCGAAATTTTCGAAGGTTACTTACACGGGTTATAAAATTGTGCAAATGACTTGGTTGACCAAGCCCCCTTTTCTGAAATTTCTGAGCCCGCACAAATTTTAGGGAGGATATCAAAAAAAATTTCGAAGTGCGTGACTCACGCCACGCATCTTCACCAAAAAATTTTTTGTCCCCCCCCCCCTCCTCGAGCCGAAATCCTGTTACGTCACTACCATAAATATGTTTCCACCTACTCGTGCGTCAGAAAAGTCTTTTTTAAAATCACATTACAAAAAATACTGGAAGTCCTGCTTTCCGCATGACAACATAGAAGTTAACCGAATGATGCTGAGCATCATGATTAAAATGCTAAAAGCTATCCTGAAATTCTCTGCTACAAAGAATTGATGTTTTTCTTGAAGGAAACCTTTCAGATTAAAGATACGTACAGTTTTAATGTAGTAACAAAGTGTTTGTTGACTTAGTATCAAGACTGCGTCAAACATAAACGCATAACTTTGCAAAAAAAGCTTGCTTAAAAACTTAGTTATGCAAAATTTGTGATCAAAAGCTTCTTTGGAACTCGCCGAATCTCATAAGTGGCAGATAGACACACTCAAACACACATAAATGCAAAAACCATTAGCAGATTGTTACAAGTAAGATAACTGAAACCATAGATTACTCCAAGCACCCAGCGCTTTTATTTTGAAGATGTGGGAAGGTGGTCGCCTCATCAAATAGCATTTGAGTACGTCAATTTTGCTTTGCCCAAGCGTCGCCTCTGTGAAAGGATCGTGTATGTCAAACGTAGTCTCGTGCGTGATATGAACTTGTGCGCGAGAGACAAGTGGCTTGGTTTATGAAGCTTTGACATTACATCAATAAGCAATGATATGACACCAAGTTTTGTGTGTTTGGTGCGACGAGAATAGAACGATGTTCAACAAACTATGAAAAAATTAACGTAAGCAAAAGCTGTCTTCAACTTTCTAAAGTTAACTTGTACTTCAAGTATTTTACCAGCTGGGCTGGCATGGACTAAGCATTTAATTGTTTGATCTTTTCTTGTCTTAGATGATTCTTTAGTGCATATATGCTTCAGCAGCTCTATTAGTAAACAGGTCAAGTTTTGTCTTCCCTGGTTTGTTGCACCTCAAATGATTTAGAAACCGCAGTGTCTTTGATTTCCGTTTCATCATTTCGAAACTCTTGTATATCTTCGCTCAAAAAGTATTTCGTGATATTTCGTAGAACAAGGGAGACTGTGTTTTCGAATGTCTCTTAGTGCTAATGCCTAGTGAGCCCTACAGACAAAGGAAGCACGTTTAGTTGAAGAGGCTTTTTCGAATGAGATTTATACGACACCAAGGGGCATAAAACGCTAATTTCAAATCTGCCTTTAATACCCGTGGAAAGCGAAAGCGTGAAAGTGCTAGAGAAATATTATCACTGTTATTGTCTTACCTGGTATAGAATTGCTTAAAAATATAAATCCAATTTTTTGCTTCAACAAACGCTCATACCTCCTCGTTCGTGTATGTTCCGCAGATAAGGAAGGCAGATTTGAAACAAGCGTTTTGTGCTTCTTAATGTGGTACACATCCCAATTGAAAAAGCCACTTCAAATAAACATGTTGTCCTTGTGCGCATCATCAGTTGTTAGCAGCATGCTAAGAAGCCAGTTGTAAGTTTTTGCAGAATTTCGCAAGCTTCCTAGCTTTTTCCAAAGCTTTCCCAATGTTATGAGAGGACTGAACTGTAAAAGAATTTAAGAGGTTCAAACTGTTTTGAAAGACTGTCGTGTATTACAAATAGAGCCGTCCTTCGGTGATAAAAACGCGGTATTATAACATGTAATATGATCTCTATGAGCACAAACGCTCTACATTTCATATACAATTTATCACCTTATTTCGCCGCGTCGTTCGTCGCAGATTTTGGATTGAGCGTAGCTCATCTTCGTAAGTCCTTTGATCTTATTGTAAAAACCAGAAGTTCTTCAAAATTGAACGGTTTGTCATTGAATTTGCTCATTCTTCTAAATTAGATTCATTTAGCTTGCGGCTATGCAGTATCGAGAGAGAGTGGCGTATTAAATGAGGCGCCGCAATGGCCAGATCCCAGTTCGATCCACGCTTCCGGGCCAACCAAGCCCTCCTACCCTGCGGGGCCGTAAATTGGTATCAGAGTAATCTGGGAGGATAAAAGCACTAAATGGTGATCGTGTGGCCTCGAAAATCACTATAATAGGCTCGCAAGCATTCAGTAGCCTCCTCGACTATGATGTAGAGTGCATTCGGCGCATGCCCGCAGAAGGTTTGAGAAAGTCGAATCATTATTCTTTATTCTGAGCAGAGTTGCGCGCTGTTCCCAGAAATGTGCTGTATATATCCCATACAACATGAACATAGCAACAAAGAGCACTAAAAATTTGCAGAAGACGTAACGAAAAGCGTACTAGGTACGCACTTTGCATAGTCACAGCAATAGCAGCGACTGTTGATCAGTTGAGACTCAAACTGTTTTATCCATGATGTCTGCAAATGGTTTTGAGCGTGGCGAAAAAAAGAATCGTAAGCATTGAACAACGCTCCTTAACATATGTGAACAAGCAGAGTCATTTTGAGCAAACTCACCAAGGTGAGACCTTCTTCGAAGTGATTTTCTGATATTGCCGTCACAAACCTGGGGGCAGGCATGTAATAGTTTTGAAAGTTGACGGTGCTTTGGTTTGACAGGAGACCTGAGCTTAGCCCTTTATTCTCAACTTCATAATTAGCAAAATCGTTTACTTGAATATTTAGACATTACCATTGCCATAGAACTTGGAAGTAAAGCCGTTGCACATAAGCACGTTCTGTTAGGTTGTCAAGAAAGTTCCGGGGCACTTTTGAAACTTTTTTCAAACCTTTTTTCGGCGCTCGATCGGACTTTAACACCAAGCTTAAAGTTTTCAATACGGCTTTCAGTTTTTACCGATGCGAAGACGTGTTTGATCTGCACTCAAAAAGGAAAACCTTTCCAACCATTTTTGTGCAATTCAAAGAATTTCGTTTGAATCATGGGTGATCTGATTAAGAAGCCTGTTAACTTCTGACCTGCAGCTGCACTCGAGTTTTGCGATTTAAGCTTAGAAATCACAAGCTGTAAACTTGCATCACTACAATCCTTTTCGCAACTCGCGTCGCCTCTGCGGGGATCATCACGCCTGGATGATGGGTCCAAAAGATGTGTCATGCACCACCCCAACAATGTTCGCAGTAATCAAAGATTTGGTCCACCCTAAGCAGAACGACAAGACTTCAAATTCACTTACTCAAAAAATGGTGCATTTCTAAGGGGCAAAAATGATTGATTTTTTAAACTTTCTGGAAAAGATTTTTTGCAGGTGGCTGCAAAAAGAATGGTACCCATAACAGCCCCAGCAGACTTCTATATAGCTGCAGCATTTAAGCTCTCCAGCCTTCATCGTGTAATCCTGCACAAATAGGCCACTTTTCACGACCACCTTTTTCCCTTCTGCGCATGCTTTTGGACCGCAGTGAATTGCTGAAAAGCCATCAAGACAAATATATGTTTTGGGCAAAAGTGTCTTTGCAATGAAGTTTGTAGCTTCAAAAAAAATCACTCTGCCTCGGACACTTTCTTTACAACCTAATATAATGCAATTCATCACATCAGTGCTAGTTTTCTTGACAGGGGATGGTCAGAATTCGAAGTGGCCAATTCAAGCAAGCTGCATACCATTAGGTGCAGCATAAAGCGCTGACCCAAAATCTGATTTTCTTTTCTGCAGACCACTTTTGTGGATGAGGTTTAGGCCAATGAAGCTCACCTTTTTACTAAGAGGTCGTGCGTATAAAGGGCACATTTAGCCGTGCAGAGTCGTTTTCGGATTGATATTGGGTCGTTTCAAAAGCAATGTCGCTTTTTTCAAATGTATGCCACATCTCGTGAAACAAAGATTTGTAAGAATCTTGATAGCTTTCGATGCAGCATTTCATTCTCTTTTTAATGGTTATAAAGCCACTGCATAATATTCAATGGGCTTTTGAAAAATTACCAAAATCTGCGACATATGCTTTTTGGGAAGGTCAACTTTCACAATTTTTTCAAATTCCTACAACAACTCTCGGAAGGAGACCAAATCCTACAGAAAGCAGCACCAATTTTTTTTCTGCTTTCCATAGTCCATAGTAATTTTAGTATAGGTTTGGTATTGGAAGCAACGAATTTTAACAGCCTTGTTTCAGGTATAAATGCATCAAACACTAATAAATCTACGGATTTTGAAACTTACAAAAGTGTATTATGTCTTGACACTAAATTCACAAAGGAAATGATTATTTGACGCTTCACATTAGCAAATTTCGAAAATTCAGTATACAGCGCGGGGCTCCTTGGAAAACCTGAATTATGATGATTTATCACGCAAAGCTTTATGAATCAGAAACAAAGAACAACTAGTATAAAAAGGAGAAAAAGCTACGCTGTATGACACACAAGTTGCTCGTCGCCGGTTAGTGTTCTGTGAGATTTTAGTTGACCAAATATAGAATTTGATACCATTAAAGAATTGGTTTTAGAAATTCTTTTGGGCGAGCTAAGGAGAAGAAGAAATTTGATTCGTATCCTATAGGATTCGCTCTATCTGTCCACTACTTGCACTTCTTCGGGGAATCAGTACAAAAATTTAGAGAAAAACCGAATTTGACCATGGCAAAAAGCATGAATCGTAGATTTTGGTGATTTTTCGAGAGCTCATTGAACATTATGCAATGAGGTTACAAACGCTAGAAAGAGGATGAAATCCTGCATCGAACGCTTCTAAGGGCTCTTGAAAATCTGGTTCCACGAAATGTAACGTCCATTTGAAAAAAGCGACATTGCTTTCGGCAACTAATATTAAATCAAAACATCCAGCTAGGTTACTTTAAATGGTCTATACCTACAGATGAGCCAAATGGGCAATAATACGCCTAATTTCACAACTTTTAACTCACTTTTTTCGCATAAAACTGCTCATAACTTCGCTTACAAAGGCGTTCCGCAGATAAGGAAGACAGATTTGAAGTCAGCATTTTATGCTGCATGATGGTATGCAGCTTGCATGGATTGGCCACTTTGACTTTTGACCATTTCCTTGTAAGAAGAAACGCAGAATTTTTCTTTGAGTTAACTTCCTGATTGAAGAGCGCTAGATCGCTCAGAAGTTTCTAGAAAGGAGCAATTATGTTGAAGTGCAGATTTAGACCGCTGATCTGGAAAACCACCCCCAATATCTGGTGCGGTCTTTCTCAAGAAAATTGAGAGCGATTTTTTCCTTACTCAACGAGGAAACAATCTGATATAAGGGACGTCAAGAAAGTACATATTAGGTCGTTCTATAAGCTTGTAGCGTTTCCATTCTCGTTTTCACTTCTTTGAAAGCCGGTTGTTATGGGGGAAGATGCACAAATCGTTGAAAAGAGCTGATCATGTTCTTCACGAAGAACCCATTGATTCTGATGGAAAAGCTGACAAGCTTCAATTTTTTTCAGTTTTCAGCGTCGGAATGTGGAATTTTCAAACTACAAGAAGTATTTTTGACATCTGCTCATTTTTCGTACAAGTGTTTTTGCATGGGTTTTCTTTGCCGGATATAAAAAATGTCGCTTCTTCGTCAATTCGAGACAAAGAGGATAAAATTGTTTCAAAGAAACCAAGAGCAGGGTGTCCCCTAAATAAGAGTTTTAGGACAAGCAAAAGGTTCTGTACTGTAACTGCTAGACAAGAACAAAACGTCGATTATACCGTACGTAACTCAACTGCACTGTCAATCAATCCTTACCGCAAAACGACTCATAAGATAGGTCCAATGAATTCTTCTGCGTGACAAAGTATGGCTCTCTATGACAACGTTTAAAACTGATGCAAGACTTGACTGGGAGACATATCAGTATCCGATATACTTCTCACAATAAGACTTTTCCTCATTAGATGATCCTCTCTTAGGCTCTCTTGCTAATCCTATAAACAATGCTTGTTCCAAATCCAAAGACGATTTTAGGCATTCATTAGACGACTTTTTGGGAACAGACCTGCTGAGCTTTCGAAAAACGAAGTTGAAAATTTGACGGCAAGGAGGCAGAAGTTGCGTGCAGCAGCGAAAAATAGTTTATCGACTGAATTTTGACAAAACTCGGTCATTTCGTTGGTTTATGAGAGCCCATGAGCTTATGGAAAGACCTAATAGATATATAATATATAATACATTGTAGATTTATAGTACATCTAGTAGATTTTCTGCTTGAAGGCATTGTGCGCCTGCAGATTCGTGCACTGGAGGATATGGCTGTGGTGAGATTCTTGGTCCCCACTGACCTCCAGGTCAAATCCGGCTGATTGATGTTCCCCTTGTGCCGAGGAAATAGCCCTTGAACCGGCGCACGCAACCCCAAAGGGCGCGCGCTCAGACAGCTTTGCTTATCTGTTCGGCGCGGGACCCCCATGACCGCTACCGCATTTTTCATGCCGTCGAAAGCAAATACAAGCGGCAGAGTCACCATGTCCGGGCCTCCCAAATTTCCATTAAAACTCTGTTCGAGCTGCCTTTGAAACTGGGTAAAAGCCCAAAAACCGGTCTTTCACACCGATACAAGCTCGAATTCGTGTTTTACGCGTCAAAAATGCTTAAAACATGCAGAAAGGTGTAGATGCAGAATTTGCAGGGACAGTGCCTTCAATACAGTATCGCTGCAGGAGCGACAGCGTTTGCGCCTCAACAACAGTGCAGGTTTTCGAGCGAGTGTTTCCTAGGTATTCTTCGCTTAATCCTTGCTTGTTTGATAAATCGTTGTAAATATATCATCGCTTGATGGCGAGCATACAAGTGGAAGCATATCGTATTGCTTCAGTTTCATTCGTATTTTTTGTCTTTCCTTTTCTTTCGTCTTTTCTTGCCTTTTCTTCCTGTGAAACATTTCTTTGGAAGCCACTAAACTTGCGCTGCAGCAACTTCGGCATTCGCACAAAACGAAGTAGCATTTAATCGTTGAGTTCGTGTGATAAAAACAATAATTCAAGCTTGAAAGCCTACGCGAGGCAGCATCCACGTGGATACCTGAAAGTGAGCATATAACCACTTAACAACAAAAGGTATTTTTCAACTTGACTTTATTTAGCAGCAACGCCTCACCTAAAAAACAAAAATGATAAACTCTCGCAATGGCAACAGTTGACGCTCAAGCGTTGTCGCGTCTGCGGGGGTACTAAAGCAGGAAATCTACTCGATTGTACGTGCTCAAAATTTGGTCATATTGTGCAACCATCGCATAAAATTCGTGGACAGTTTCTGGAGCATGGACCTGTTTTGAAATTATTTGTTGTCATCGCGTAGACCTTTCTCACTACTTCTCACTCTTCCACACTGATAATATGCCTGCTTGTTCTGTTGCAAACTTGGTTGCCGTCATAATCAGCTATTTCACTGATGTCATTATCTGATTAGGCTTTTTCGTCTGATTATGCATGTCGTCGGTCGCAGTCGTTTCAAGTCCATTCTGCATATTTTGCTGAGTGCAGTTTCAAGCAAGTCAACCAATATGCACATTGTTATCACAAAAGTCAGAAACTGTTTTGAATACAGATGAACACATTTTACAGAACGGAGTATGCAACGCTGCACAAAAAGACGAAATAAACACTTCTCGAAGCAGACACCTACAAGATGTAGCTTGCCTCATAGATAACTGCGAACTTTAGGCAGTTTTGCAAAATTTTGGCACTCAAAAACTAAACCCATCGTAAGCTGCTTTGATGTCGAGGCCAATCAACACTTAGAAATCTGAACACTTAAGTTCTTCCTTAAAGTTCCTTAATACCAATTTGTTCTCCTAAGGCACGAGGAAAAACTTACACAGCTTTATAAAAGTGCAGGGCTCGGCACAGCTGGCTTACCGGGCAAGCTGGATATCGTTTGGGAAGTAAAAAGCAAAAGAGATACCGTTTTTGCTAAAGAGCATGCCGCTGTCTTTCGATCTGCTGCCGGCACGCTGCCGGCATGCCGGCAGCATGGTCTCTTAAACAAACAAAGGGCTTGTTTAAAGCGAAGTGAAAATGAAATGAAACCAAAATGGGTGTGTAGAAGGGCAATGGGGGAATAGTACTATGTGCAAAAAATTATGAAAAAGTTATGTGAATTGAAGTCGCGGCAAACTTTTTTAGGAGTTAGGTGGCTTTACAGCCACCTGGACGGCCACCTGAAGTGGCTGTAAAAAGGAAAAGTCATGAATTTCCCTTCCTTCACATAATTTTTAACAAGTTTAGCATATCTTTGTTCTGCATCAAAAACCCTATAACTGAGTTTTTGAATCTCGCCAAACCCCCTTTTCCTCGCCTAGTTATAGCCCTCTAAATATTTTGTATGGCGGCGGCAAGCCTGCTCCGAGCGCGCAACGGTGCGCGCCGGACACAGCATGCCGCCAATTCGGAGAATACAAAGTTCTTTAGTTTCTTTTCGTCTGTTCATGCTGCTTTCAAGTTTTGTCTCATTATTTTTTGTTATTCGTGATTGGCCCGTTCCTATTCGCGTCATAGGTGATGTCGTTTTTGTGTAGCGAAATCGGCGGGGACTTCGTTTTTGCAAAATTGAAAAAGCCACCTCATGTCGAGCCCTGCTATTGTGTAGTCTGCATTTCTTCTCCCAATGAAACTTAAGAGCCGAAGTGTTCTTTTACAAATTTGGAAATGTCTTTCTGAAAGTTTGTGCTTGAAATTTTGTAGCACAAAATCACCTATAAAACTTCACCAATCACCTATAAAACTTCTTTATAGGTGTAAAATCTCCGTTATTACTTTGATTTTTGGAAAGGTAAGTCAGAAGGTAAGTCAGCTGCAATTGTAAGAAAAGCAACATACAGTGGGAGAAGAATATCGCATCGATTGGTAATTCAACTCACTTGTCTTTTAATGAACTTCGAGATTTCGATAGCCCGAGTGCGAAATTCGGTTTCGGTCACTCTAACAAATAATAGTAAAAACACCAAAATTAGCTGTAAAAAAAAGTACACATTGCAAAAGATTTTTCCATTTGTTAGTCATAAAACAACCTTTCTAAATGTTTGGAATGAAGATTTTGAAAAAGAAGCTGAACATAGTATTAAGTGCTTGCTGAAAAAATTAACCAAAAGCATAGCGTCGGATACTTGAAACGTCTGCCTATCTTAGCTCTTCAAATTTGTGGATCGCCCAAAAGAGCGAGCTTTCGGCCGACATTATATCGATATTATTAGTATCGATAAGCAGCAATGACTTACCTAGGTTTTGAAGATGTGCGATGTATTTGCAATCAAAGCGCCGCCCTTTGATGCTCGTGTTTGTAGGAAGGCGATAGCAGAAATCGTAAATCACATTTTCATGTTGGCACGCACAATCGTTCCGAATGATGTCATACTGAAAGATTTGGAATAGTATTCTCAAACTTCTATTGTTATCTACTTTGCTTATTGGAAAGGTGTTAGTCTTTAACTTACTACGAAATCCTCCTCTACTGATACGAAGGTTGTAGGATACATGCGGAAGAATAACAAAATGAACAGGTAAGCGAAAACAGCGCTACATCCCCATGTCAGTCTTTGACTTACTTTTTCGGAGCACATTGCTGAAATGCCTGGCTGGAATTCAAGTCGTTAACTATTCATAGTGAATGATCAGGCCAGGAACAGAATCAAAATGAGTCACTTATGGAAGTAACAGCACCTAGCTCCGATATGGTTTATGCAAAAAATGTGTACAAATTAAGAGTCGTATCGCGTACACTTTGCGAACAGACATTTGACCATTCATTCTGAAACGAGGGAAGAACGATGTTTTTCACATCCTTACGCTTAAAATCCTCATGCGAATTTTCTCAAGCTAATACCTATTTTCAAACCGGTTGAGTTTGATAAGATTTATTTATTAATTTATTTATACACACATGGTAGTCGAGGAGTGAAAACATGGACAGAATACAATGATCGTCCTCTCGCTTCTTCAGGACGTTCTCCCTCATTCGAACGATGAGGGGTACCTTTCGATTTCCCGTTCCCATGCACGAAAGCAACATCATTACGTCACAATTAATAAGATGGCTCAGCTGACCAACTTAACCAGGAACGGACCAGTCCGTCAGGATCCTGGGCGAGCGGGGTGGGGAGATACCAAGGTAAAGGGCTCATTCTTTGTCGATGTACTCGAACGGCTACCTTTGAAGAAACGATCTAAATTCTGCCGAAAACGAATGCAACGGGACATTAGGAAGGAAAGCATTTCTTGAATGCTAAGTGTTGAGCAAAATATGCAAAAAAAACCCCGAAAATCTGCAATAAATAGTCAAAAATCGTTGATCCAGTTCCAAAATCACCGCGAAAAAAAAAAGAAAGTTGCAAAAGCTTGAGGAAGATGCACCGCCATTGATAAAAGAGGCGACGCAGTTATCACATATCGAAATGTACAAAACTTCCAAGAAGTTGATTAATCTCAACTTTTTGCGAAATTGTAAAAAGCTTTTGGAAAAGTTATGTTTTTTCGGTAATAGACTCATCCATCTAGCACGACAGATGAAAGTGTTAAATGCTGTAAAAAATCTTGATTCCCAGTTTACGATACCAATGTGAAGCCTACCGCCCGGTTGTGCCGCGCGCGTCTGTATTTGAAACTACGTAACCTCAGGGTGATAGTCTGGAAGCGCAGGATGGTAATGACGAGGGTGATTAGGGTCGGGAAAGCATCTGTAGAATATGATTTTTAAGAAGGTTTTGTGTACTCTTTCTAGCCTCTCAATATTCTTTCTCAAAAAGGACTCCATACCGGCAACGCAGATTCTGAAATCGGCAAAACATAAGCTTTCTACAATTTCAAAAGAGCTGGGTCGTTGCTGTGTATGCTTCAGAGAACTAGAAGGAGGACAGATAATACTTTATTGGTGTTATGGAGTCACTGTGGAGGGAAAACTGAGCTGGTTTTCATCAGAAACTCCTAAATCTTCAGTGCCACTGCATTATTCTAATTCAGTGCCATTGCACGTCTGAATCTGAGTAGGAGAATTACCAAGGGCATCACTTTGAGTTTGAGCGCATTAGCGGGTGAATTCCGTTGCTTTGACCAAAAAAATCACTTCTTTCTATAGAAGTGTTGCAATGTATGCTGCATGTTGTTCTTCATCCTTATAACAGAAGTAAATGTTGATGTTGTTCGCAAAAATCTTCGTTGTGATATTCTAGTGGGGAGTGGGTTTTGAGAAGTGAAGGTAATTTAGCGGTGTAGGTGAGACAAAGAAGTGGCGAAACTATGTTGCTTTGACGTACTTCGCTTCTGCAGGAAAATCGCCTTGAAAATCTTATTTCCTCGCAAACAGTCGTGCGCCTGTCATAAAGTGAAAATTAATCAGCCGAGCCATTGTCGGCGACGTAAGTTTCAAGCTTGTCAGCCCTGTCAAAGCTTTCGACAGAATTAAAGAATACAACATACATTGATTTATTTTCGTTGACGGCTGATCCGGTCAAAAAAATGTATCTGAATGCAGTGGTGAAATCTCCCGGAAAAAGACATTCAAATGGAAGGGAATGTTTTTTTCACCGGTCAAGTAGCTTGTCTTTGACGAGCTTTCAAAGAATTTTCCCTGAAACAGTAGTACTTTTAGGCCTTAGGTTTGAGAGGGAAATGTTGCGTTCACACTTAGGTAATGCTTTTACTTGTTTCTAAAGCTTAGCACTTCACTGTTTATTATCTAAACGTTGAATGTCAGCGACGGGGGAAAAGTTAAAGCATGGGCGCATTTGCAATACATAATTTGAGCAGTGCCATCGTACGCGGTAGTGGTAAAAAAATTTCCCAAAATTTCTGCTTTTTCTCTATCTTCTTGATTATGTTATCAGTTTCCTTTTTAAAATCGATAGTTTTACTTCCTTTTACTTACTTCTAAGATAAGCATGAATTTCTTTGATTATATCTGGAAAGACGGGCTTCTGATTAGCTAGAAACTTTCTGACGTGATAGCCGATGTTCCGACAAACTTTTTTTGTAGAGATGGTGATTCAGAGAATCCTGCAAATTCGAGAAAATCTAAATTTCTGTGCAAGCAAATTCTTTATATAAGAAAGATAAGTTTGTTTTTTTGTTCCCTTAAAATTCGACTGTCTCGTTTTCAGAATCATTCATCAACTGCTGCCGTTTCACCACTGCCAATAACTGCAACATACAATTACGCCCAACTCTTATTAAATCATAAGTGTTTCGTCTCTTGACACTTTTATGGCTCATAGTTCTTTGGTATAGGGTGCGAAATTAAACCTATGTCCTAAAATTGCACTGCGTTGATAGATATACCGAAGATGGTTAGCCATTAGTGAGAGAAGCTGCTGTATGTTTCAACTTACCCCTCTTCTTTGTTATCAGATATGTGAGAAGAGCCTAGCAGTGTGCAGCGCATTCATAATATTGTAACGCGTTAGAAATTCGTCTCTGTGCCAATCAATACAATTGCCTCTTCCAAATGAATTTCAGGGAAGAGATCTTAGATTTGTATGTTATTAATTTCTTCTTTTTTTCCACTGTAATATTATCTGCTTCTGTTGATTTTGAATTCATTTCAATTAAGGTGGCTTTACATTTAGAAACGCTTTTTATTAGGAACTCAAGTCAGTAAGAATTGTGACCGCAGTGGAAAGAAACGACTTCTTTGAATGTTTCGAAAAAGTGAGCTTATATGGGTGCGTACACTTTGAAAATGTAAAATTCCCTACTGATCACTTTTCTCATCGTATCAAGATGTAAGTCGTTTTTGAAAAATACAGTCTACTTCTGAATGTTTACGTTATTTTATGCATGCAGCTGTCCCGTTTCATGCATTTTCAAAAGAAAAATCTATTCTTTTTTGGTGCATGTGAAAGGGCACTTTATCAATTTGCACATCAATTTCTAAAGGCTTGACAAATCGCAATTCTTGTCTGCTAAACAATTCTCTGAAAGAATTAATAAGGGACCGAGCATATTTTGTTGAAGAGCCCGAAACGTGTATAAGGGAGCTCAAAAGCTCCCAAATCAAGTAAACTAATAACATCAAACTGTAATTCGAATGAGAGACATTAATATAATATGCATGCTTTCCTTGATATTCGCTGGCTATTAAATCCTTGCAAATGCCCTTTTTGACAAGATATGCAGCCGCTCTGGGTTACCATTGACGATGTTGAACTAGTGAAGAGTCTATTAGAGCTAAAGATTTGGGAGTTTTGATACAATCAAAATTCATTGACTATATTGACTACGCAATACTGCTGCAAATTACGATTTCTCGAAACATTCACAGACAATTTGTTTGGACTTTATAAGGTATATGTGATTCCACATTTTGACTATTGCCCACTATGGATTATAGATCCAACATTCGAAAAATACTTTGAAGGCTGAAGACTTCAAAGAATTTTTGCACGTATTAAGTGCTAACTTTACAAGAATAGAATTGCTTTGCAAGATGACTATGGCTGATTTGACTTTTTATATCCAAATACAGCGCGAGGAGATTGATCTGCAAACCAGCATCTTTGATATTTGGGTCTGTAACGTAAATTTGGAGGAATTGATGTGCATAACTTTGGAAAAAACTGTTTTGATGCAGAACTTTAGTTTTCTTTTTTGAGGTTCTTCATACCACACCGCAGGCTAGGCGCACGCCGCTGCAGGTGCAGTGAAAATATGCAAAATATGAAAATAAAGTAGTACTATACTTACAAGTAATACTAGGTAGAACAGCGCATTGAAGTTATTGACTAAGAACTATTGAATCGAAGCATGTTTTGCGAAATCGAGATCCACCCAAAATTTAACCTGAATGAAAAACCGTTGAACCTATGTTCGAACAAGGCAAAAGAGAAAGAAGACTGGAATTCTAAATGGTTACTCCCTACGAATGCGAACGTGCACAGCAGATATAGAGGAACAGGAGAAGCTGCGGTGGCATGGGCGCGTTTTCGATGCGACTGCAGCGGCGCAAGCGCAGGCGCGATAGGTTGCAGCAGGCTGCGACGTACTATGAGGGAGCCATTATTGTCATGCTCTTTGATTTCGTAAGTTGCCCTCAAAAATGTTAACAGCCAAAACAAGTCATTAATAAGAAAAATTAAAATGTCCCATAAGTCTTTTCATATTCAAATCATTGAATTAATATATCTTAAATGCTATACGCGTTTCCCATGCGTATAGCGGTCGTAGCCCTGCAAACATTTAAACATGTTGAAAAACTTGTTGAACCTCCACTTTAGGCATTGGCTTTTGTAATCTTTAGCTATCAAAACTGCCACGCGCATACGTTGGCAAACGTCAGCAAAGCTCCGCCCGCTATACTGTGGGGAATAGACGATATCTTCAAATTGATATTTCTCTATATATAAAGCTGAATGTCTGTTTGTATGCGTGTGTGCGTCTGTAAAGGCTGCTGCATGACGAAGGCGCAGAAGCGGTATTAGTCGAGAGGGCGCGAACGCGGCGCGCGCGTATCCTCACCATTGTAAATCCTGCGCCTTATGCGCTCTGCGGCTAATAAAGCCGCGATCGCGCCTAGAGATATTCCGCCTTCGTCATGCAGCAGCCTTTACGTATTTTCGAATAGGAAATTTTA